TCTTTCTACATTTTCTCCTTCCTCCCTTAAATTTGATTTGTAAAATTGTTTTTTTAACCCTCACTCTGTGAGAACATAAGGACCTAGACTAAAGGGCCTCCCCCCCCCCAGCACTTTACCAGTTCACTTTTTTCCATTTATTGTTCTGTTTTCTCCATTTGTTATATGTTTAGCTGAGACTTCTCTGAGCTGTCCTTGTCACTCTCTTAGACAACTAATGGAAGCTTTAGCAGCAAGCACACTACAGAACCACACTTTTTCAGTTCAATAATTTGGGAATATTTCATGGATATGCAACATTTTCTGTTTAGGTTTTGCTGGCAACCAAACCAGTAAATGGAAAGCACCAGGAGTGGTGCAATGTGATGGGGGAACAGAATGCCTTGATTTCTAAAGATACCACAGCGAAGCTCCTTAGCTGTAAACTACCCTAATCTTCTATGCCCTTTAATTTGTTTATCTCCAGATATACTTTAAGCCTCTTTCCATTTGTTGATGAGAGCTGTGTCTTTAGGTTTATTACATCCAAAACCAGGAATGCAGAGTTTCTAATAAGTGACATTTGGAAGGAATTGCAAATAAACATGCTTAAGGGGGCCTGAACAGAGAACGGCTAACATCAGCCAGTTGGTGAGAATGGGGAAAGCTGCCTAAAGTGTATCCCTTTCTTCGTTAAATGTGAGCAGTTGCCTTAAAAGCAACAATCACATGTTGTTGTCTGAATGGGCTCCAAGCATAACATGGTTATAGAATCACTGAGTTCTTTAAAATGGCATGTCATTTATCATGGCTCATCACGGGGGCACTTTTTAAAGCAGGGCTAAAGTTGCTTATGGAGATGTAGTTCTGGTTAGCATTAGCTTCCTCTGGGAAAGCCAGTAGTATACTCTGTCTGGGCCTAAAGACAATTTTTTAGTCATGAATACATGCTTTCAGACCAAAGAGTAATTACAATTTATGAACAGTGACTTTTTAATTAAGTGACATGTTGGCTGTCCAGAGCCATGACTCCACAGAGTCCATGCCTAGGTTTCTCCCTGCTTGTATGGATGTCCACACTTAGTTTAGCTCCAAAGTACTTCTAAACCTGGCTAATGTTATGTTGTGAGTCTTGGTGATTTCTGCAAGTGCATTTTTAGAGTCAGGGGAATGGTATTAGATTAGAAGAAAAAAAATAAAATATATGACCGCCATTATATATTTTGATTCAATAAATATTTTTTTCTTTTCTTTTTTTTTTTTGAAATGGTGACCAGTAAAGCTATTTTAACCCTTGACTTGGTTTTGTTAGCACTACACTCTCTCAAGTGAGCTAACCAGCCATCCCTTTATAGGGATCAGAACCCGAGGCCTTGGTGTTATCAGCACCGCACTCTCGATAAATATTTGATTGTTTTCCTTTCTCTTCAGAAATGCAACGTTGAAGCAGACAAAGATTTTATTCTCAGGATATTTATAGTTCTGTACTGGTGATCAGGTAGGAATATAATCACTGTGCAGGTCAGAAAGTGATATATGACATGTGAATTTACAGAAAAAAATGTGATGGTAAATTCAGAAAAGAAAGAGATAATTCTGAGTGATGAATCACAGATGGCTTTGTGGAGTGGGTGGCCTTTTAGCTGCATCTTAAAGGACTGAGTAAGCTTTGGACATGCAAAGATGTGGAAGAAGACATTTGATGTGGGGGAATAGCATCAAAAAGTGATCAGAGTCAGATCGCAGTGAGAATTTTAAACACTTTTACCTATTCTCCTGACTATTCTACATTGAAAACATTGGATTTATTTTCATTTCTCACTCTTTGCACTCTTTGTGCCAAGAGTCTAATTTCTGTAAACTATCCTGTAAGGACAGTACAGCAGTAAAAGTTCTGGGGTTCATACATTCACACACACACACACACACACACACACACACACACACACACACACACACTCTCTTATAAAATGTTCAGCACTTTCTATGACCAAGTGGTTTCCATTTTCCTGGTTGTATGACCCTTTGCCTTGGTTTACATAACCCATATCAGCATAAGTTTTTTCAAGTCGGAATATCCAGTAACCTCTAAGTTTGGACTTCCAGAGCCAGATCTCATTAAAATGCCATATGGTTATTCAGGGAAAGTGGAAACATGAGCATACCTTCAATCTAGACCACTGGTTCTCAACTAGGGATAATTCTGCTGAGGTTGATCATCTAAGTCAAGCTTAATTCCCATTCCTCCCCAAAATAAAATACCTGACTTAAAATCTCTGGTTTGGAATAATAGAAAATCTAAAATTTATCACAAAAAATAAATCTATAAATGCAGTTTTATTTTGGTCATAGAGCCAAAGAGCATTGAATGAGTAGGAAACACATAGTTAGATTCCAACCAGTCATACTTTGACTAAGTCATAAGAAACTGAAAAAACAGAAAATCACAAAACTTCTAGACTAAGAAGCATGAGAAATAATGATGGCATTTATCTCACATGTCCAAATTATCATGAAAAGGAAGTACATTATTTATAGATAATTTTTCACCTTTTTTTTGAGGGAGTAGAGTCTCCATTTAAGAATGTAATCATAGTTCTGAGTTTCTTGGTTTTATAATTCATACCCTACCTTACTTTGAGTCTTTTTTAAAACTTTGCTTAAAAGGCAAAAAAGGAAAGAATAAAACGAGAGAAGAAAGGGTTGTGTGGAAATAAAAAGATGCTAGCATTCCTTGTAATTCTAAATATATTAGCTTGTTTTACTAATCTTGCTCATAATCAATGGTTTATCATATGTAAATATCTAGGTGGGTTGATTTTTTCTAGTATGAATCTATCATATAAAAATGGATATTGTAGATAATCAGAGGCATGAGGTCAATAAGGGCAAAATCTCTAAAACTAAAAGACCAAACATTTTCTTTCTTCTCACTGCAATGGTTTGAACAGTTTTACTGACATGGTCAGCCAGGGATGTCTCCACTTGGCATTTTGCCACAAGAATCCCTTGAAAAGGATGTTTTTTTAGTGCTTGCAGGAGTTTTTGGTCCCCAAACCTGCCGTGAGGGCCACAGAGGTGATAAAGCATGTGGGAACGCAGGAGAGAAAAGCGGGGAAGGAAGGACTAAGCTTCCAAAATTATGATTTACATGTGCTCAGGCCAAATGGATTCTGGCCCTCAATTTGCAGTTATGACCTTCCAAGTTTCAGATGTTAAGTGGGAAAAATAGTGCACATGAAACTCTTAAGCAATGGAATCGTGAATTAATTGAAGGTTACCATGACATGAGGAGGAAGGTCAAAGAAAACAAGCAGCAAAAAAACTTCAGCCAACAAAATCTCTGCCCTTCTACCTATCACAAGAACATGTACCTGTAATTCCCTCTAGGAATCAAAGAAATTGCTAGAAAGGGAATTTTATGTTTCAATGACTTGAAATCCTTATATGCTGCAGAGATATACATAGATACAAAGGTTGTAAGCCAGCTAATGAGTACCCTGAGAAAATCTTAACTCCTCCCATAGTTTGTGCTTGGCAAGTCCTCTGGAAAGATCTAACTCACCCTCTCCATGACAATGTACAGAGAAACATTAGTGCAATGTATTTAAGAGTGATGTAAGCTAACTTTGTTATGAAAACAATGTAACTCTAACATTGGAATGACATCTGGTCTGTGTCACAGCTCTATCAGGATGAATGATAATAGGGGGGAAGAGAGACTCGCTTTTGCCAAATATGGCTACTGATGAGTAATGTTTTATTCTTCTCTTAGTTCCCTTGTTAAAATCAAAACTAAGACCAAGAGCTTAGTGTAAGTCCTGTCAATTTCCAAGTGATCAGTTATCTTGTACAATCAGCAACAAGTGTCAAAGTGCATAAACTCTGGGGTGAGTTTTTGTAGTTGTGTTTTTCTAAATAAGGAGAGGAATTTTGAGGACATAGTTTCTTGACAAATAGTATAGGAGAATTACTTTGCTTGCTTCCAGAATCTTAATTCACATAGTCTTAGAAATACAAAGAGGGATTTTCACAATGATCAATTTTATTTGGTTTTTAAAGCCTTCCTTTGTCATTTACTGTTCTGGAGTAGTATCTATCCTCTGGAAAATAAGTCCTATTGGCTGTCAGGGTTTTGATCACCTGCAATATAGGACACACAGACTATACGGATGGTCCATATGGAGGTCTATTCTCTGCAGTGTGATCATGATGCATAAAGTGTACCATGTGTTGGTCTGGAGGAGTGCTGCTTCAGGAGAGCAGGAAGACCTCGCCTTCTAAGCTCCATCCAAAACAAGCCAGTGATCCAACGTTAATGCAGTCAAGGCTCCCAGAGTGAGCAGTTTCCATTTCCACCCTACAATAGATCTGAGTAATGCAAATTTTATTATTTAATCTCTCTGTTTTCCAGGATTTCAAGTAGGCCCATCACATACCCTAAATTAGATGACTAAATGGAAATGCAAATAAGAACTCTGGTTAATAGCACTGCATGAAAGAATGTCCAGTCAATTAAACCAGTGTGCATGTGACTAATGCTTCGTTGCAAACACAGTTGTTTCAGAAGTGGGGAGATTTTTCTCTACCATTATCTTTCCTACCACTAACATAGCTATATTGAACCTATATCTTTCATTGAAATTACTGCACATTCATTTTAGAAGAAAATATGTGCACAATGACTTTTTTAATTATCATAGAAGTACCACACACTATCCGATTGTGCCACTGGAGCTCCCTTTTTCAATTAAATAAGGTGAATAATTTTTAAATTATTTAAGGTATTTAAATGTTAGCATAATTTCATCCTATATTTTCACAGAGAAATAGTCTCAAAGATCCTCAATACTTCCTTCTTTCCAAAGGCCTGACCAGAGTTGGCAAGTCCTTCTAAAAGTTTGGAGCTGACCTAAGTCTTCTGGTCCTCTGCTGCTCCCCATCTGGCCAGTTCTGACGGGCGCTCCCGGGGGGTCCTCCTAACTTACGTTCAGTTTGGTGCTATAGGCAACTGACTGAAGATGCACGAGAGAAGCACTGCTTCCCCGCCACAAAAGCCATCCCCCGGGAGTGTTCTTGGGCAGTCATTCTCCCCTGGGGCTTTGGCAATAGATCCAGTCTTGAACTTCATGGATAATACCACTTTCTTGGTTTCACAGAAGAAGGAGAAAAAGTGTAACAAGGTGAGAAAATTTCCAAACAGGAAAGCATTTTGGAGACAGTCAATTGTACTCTGAATTCTCAGTTCTCTCCCATTCTAAGAACACTGAATTTTGCGTGACAGTCCTTGTTTATAAGAGTTTGAGAAATGAATGTTGTTCCAAGGACATAACCACTGGTGAGTGGGTCTGCAAGCCACAGGAGAGTATGAAAGAGATATCTCTTGCTAAAGAGGGAAAGCATCACATTTTATCAGAACTGTCTGCTTAAATAATAAATTTCCTAGGTTGTTATATTCATAAAGGTTGGTGTGTAGGTTAGGAAATAATTGATTTCTCAGAAATTGGCAAGTATTTCCTAAGGAACATTTTTCTTTATTATGTGTTTGGCATTTGTAGTTTGCTGGCTCCATTTTCAGCTTTAGACACTGGACCATAAAATTATAGCTCCATCCACAGTCACCAGCTGTAACTGCTGTCAGTGATCTCTGGGCTCAGTGATAATAGTGTAGTTACATGCATGCATGGAAAGTGGATCCCTCAGTCAATGATAAATTTATCAGGTGGGATATCACTACTGAAAGGCACTCAAAATTATTTCATCAGGTCCCCAAATGGAAACTGGAGCAAATGGCATTGCATGAAGTAGTGCCGGATAAACCTGTTACAATTCCACAGTAATAAATGCCAAGCCTCATTTTATTTGCAGCCACTGATGTGTGTGATATGGACAGGAGTACTTCCATGACATCCTCTAGTGGAAAATTATACAAGTTACAGAACAAATTAATCTATGATAAAGAACACCCGCTCTACAGAATATTCTACAGACTTAGTAATTCTGTGAGATAATAAATGGACTTTACCACTAATCGATGTACTGAGAGTAGCCTTGATGGAAAATTTACCTGTTAAAATGGAAAGAATCCACAGCAGCCACAAAGAACCACCTTTTGCTTTCATGCCCTGAATGTGATATCTGATCAATCTAAGAAAGTGTTATACAAAAGGATAAATTTCATGAGCTGTTTAAATGTGCGGAGTGAGACAGATATCAAAGAACGGTTTTTAAGGCTCTTCTCTTAATGACATCTGCTATTGAGACTCTTAACCAGAAAATAGGAGCAGGTCTAGTAAAATATTTTCTGAATGCTAATGGATAGATCATTGCATTAGATTTATTAGAGGAGCTTTTTAGCACTATAGACTCCCCCCACTCATCCTTCACCTACATATCAAGAGGTTCTGATTCTATGGTAAAGACAAGAAATCTATGTCTGTTTTTAAAGCTCCGTGGACAATTTTGGTGGCCATTGGATGTCAGGACCTACTGGTCTAATATTATGTTTCTTCAATAAACCTCAGGACCTCACAAATTCAGAGGCTGATTTCTCAAGTTGAAATGAGCCTTCTTTTCACTGGGAATCATTTCTTAAATTTTAATCCATGCTTGAGTTTTCTCATGTCATCCCCTTTGGAAAATCACCCTTCACTACAACTGTCCCTACCATATGCTATTTCATTCACCTTCTCATTTGTATTACAATTGTTTGAGTGCACCACCACCAACATTGCTACCCCAAAATCTTTCCTTTTTTCCCCTCAAATCACTATACAATCCAACTCTTTGGTTTTATTTCCAGTAGTCTCCTCTGGGCCCAAACTATGAGCCATTTTTCCCATATAATTGTGGGTCTTCTGATTTTGACATAGTAGAGCTTCCTCCTTCAAGTTGAACGACATCCTAGCCTAAGCTTCAAGGACCCTATAGTTTCTTAGTCCTCCTGTAACTGGTCTCTCTCTCTCTCCCTGTCTCTCCCCCGTCTCTCTCTCTCTCTCTCCCCCTCCCTCCCTCCCTCCCTCCCTCCTTCCCT